CATGCTGCATAAGTGTGGTCTGGTCTGAGCTTGCTCTGATTATCACCTGCTTGCTTACCCCAACGTGTGCCTGTTGTCTCCTTCGCCTGTTGTGCAGGTCTGACTTTACGAAGACAGCCATGCCAAGAGGAGGGAAGGGGACACGGCCGCCTCAGAGGCCGTTGGGCGCATCAGGAGGATATGAGCGGCATGGGCCTCGCCAACGAGAGAGTACTCCAGTCTACAATGAAGGGGACATCGAGCTATTCCTGGACAGTTTCTGGGAGCATGCGAGGCATATGGGCTGGACCGTCACTCAGGCGATTGAGAGATTAAGGGGAGCAGGTAGGTTCGAAGAGCCCATTGCCAGGATTCGTAGGGAGGCGACGACGAGGCAGGAGGTGGAGATAAGGATGGAGGAGTTGCGACCCTCGCCTGTGGGACCTGATGGCAGGCCGATCCGCCTGGAGATTGGAAATGCGTCGGACTTCATCCCCGCGTTTGAGTGGTTCATGCAAGAGCAGGACATACTGAGAGATGATTGGATACATACGCTGCCACTGTGGACCAGGAAGGCGGAAAGGCCACTGGCTATGCAGATCAGGGACATGGCACGAGATTGGGAAAGCTGCAGGGCACATTTGAGAGAGGCCTTTTGACGGCCAGAGCTCCCTCAGCCCAGAGTCGAGAGGCGGCAGAGGAGTCAGAGGCCGAGGGACCCTGAGCCCAGGGAGGCGAGACCATCTCGAGGAGGACGGAAGACCCTAGCCAGGAGAGAGCAGGAGCCAGAGGATGAGGAGCGAGGGGCATACCATGAGTGTGGGTTGGGGCAAGTGGAGTTCCATCGTTTTACTGAGGGTGGATTGAGGAGGTCGCCAGCACACACACAGGGGAAGCCGCCAGCATCAGAGGGGCCCTTGAGGGAATTGGAGATGCATTTAGATATTTCTCGGTGGAGGGCGTCGCTTCAAGGTGAGTAGCATGGAGAGCAGGCAGAGGAGGTGTCACGAGACGAGGTGTCACAGGGGGAGATACCACGAGAGGAAATGCCGCGGGAGGAGGTACCACAGGAAGAGGTCTGGGGTACTCAGCAAGAGACAGGGCTGGGCGATGAGGGGAGACGTGCAGGGAAGGAAGTGATAGAGGTTGGAGAGGACACGCCCCCACAGACGCCAGCAGTGGGTTTGAGACTCAGGGATGCACCAGGGAGCACCCGGCAGGCAAAGGAGGGGTTGCAGAGAGAGGAGACCCCTTTACCTTCGTCAGAAAAGGCTCCTTCGCCAGAAGGGAGGGCAGAAAGGAGGAGAGAGAGGGCAGCTGTAACGAGAGAAGCTTTAATCCTGATTGATAGGCACCTAGCAGCTCATGCCCTGGAGCACCCAGACCTGGAGGAGCCAGCACCTGCAGAGCCATGCCAGGAGTCATGCCAGCCCGAGAAGGAGATGGAAGCAGAGATCCCAAAGAGGGTCGACCTCCGCACGAGGGAAAGGGTGTCAGCTGGAGAGACGGCTGAAGAAAAGAGGGCGAGATGAACCAGGCGGATAGATGAGATATGGCAGGAGAGGCAGAGGTTGGAGGCAGCAGGGGAGCTCCCGGAGCAGCAGCAGGAGAGGCAGAGATCGGAGGCAGCAGGCACTCCCGGGTCAGCCGCCCAGCGCGCCAGCCAAGGCCCCGAAAATTCCTGAAATGTGGAGACACTTCTGGAAGCAGAGAGGAGAGGAGCTTCCATCGCCAGTCAGAGCCGGGTTTGCGATGGCCAGGAACGCGGAAGAAAGGTTAGATCGTAAAATCAAGTTCMTGGCCAAGACCACTTTTGACCGACATTTGTTAGTGGAGGGCGATCTGGCGGGGAAGAAAATGAAGGAAGTCAGCCATGGAGTACGTCTGGAGGCTATGGAGGTGGAAATTCAGGAACTTAGGGCTTTGGTGGCCAGCCAGGCAGCTATCATTGAGAGCCTGAGGCAGCAAACCCAGGGAAAGGTGGACAGACCAGAGAGCAGCCGACAGGGAGAGCAGAGGCAGCCAGGACAGGGATTGCCAGGACAGCCATCTGCGACAGAGCCTCGCCAGGAGCCGCCTATGGGGAGAGTTATCCTGGAGCCAGAGGAGGCGAGAGCCCAGAGACAGGCAGAGAGAGAGGCGTTCGAGTTTAGAGCCCGTACTGAGCTCGCGATGCTGCCGATGGCGGCGGCAGGCCCAGTCGTACCTTTGGCAGTAGAGGAGGGGCTGCCACCATCTAGCAGTGAGCCGGCTCAGGGCTCGGCAGAGAGATCCATGAGCGTGCTCCTTGAGGCGGTGCATACTATGCAGGAGGGGGTGAGTTTGTTTTCACCTGAGCAGAGGATAGAGGAGTCTCTTGAGAGAGAGATGGGGATTGAGGAGGAGGGTGCCATCGAGGGCAGACTCCAGAGGATAGGCACACCTGAGTATGGAACAGAGGAGATTGAGGAGCAGCCCACGGCAGTGCCAGGGGCGACACTCGAGAGGAGGCCTCAGAGGTTGGACACGCCCGAGTACGTTCCAGCGACAGAGGATTTGAGAGACAGACTAGGATTTTGGGCTACTGGATCTGGGTCGGGTGGACCAGTTCCGGGGACAGAGCAGCAGAAAGTTGTTGGTACTGCAGCTCCTCAAACAGAGCAGCAGGGGGTTATCAGTACCTTGGCAGGATCTCCTTCATCACCACCTCCTCAGCCCAGGAAGAAGAAGGTCAAGAGAAAGGTAGATCAGCTATGTTTTTTCTGCAAAAGGGACGTGCATCTGGCTTTGGACTGTCTCGAGTTTCTTGAGGATAAGGCAGCAGGGAAGATCTCAGAGGTAAGGGGTAAAATATATGATAGACAGGGTAGGATAGTAGAGAAGTCCGCAGATGGACTTAGGGCTCAGTTATATAGGCAAAACTAGGAGGAGTTGAGGAGGTAGGGTTCAGTTTTGTCTATATAAGTGAGCGAGCATTTTGTGAGGTATCAACTTAGGTTTTGTGTGATACCCTTTTTGACTTAGAAAACATTTTGATGATTGCTGTTAATCTAGATCTGAACTCTAGTGTTTCTACTGAGTTGGGTTTTTGAGGGTCAGGGTGGTTTAGATGAGGCATGTACATATTTAGGTGGCCTACGCCCTGGCCTTTGAGAGACAGATCTGACATGTATTTTAGGGATAGTTGTCAGTGTGGGTTTGGTGTGGCTTGAGTTGAGCAAGCTATGATTTGGAGACACTTTCTGTATGAGACATTGTACTCCCTGAGTGTATATTATGACGAGGTTTCCTACAGGGACCATTCTTATATGTGACGATCACTTGTCTTTCTCACATGTGTGGTTGTACTCTGATGTATGATGAGTTTGTGTGGACAATGTGTAAAAAACCTTTTTATGTATCTTGGGTATGTGAATATGATTGTAAGTAAAACTGTCTACTCCTCGGTACACTTGTGCGACCTGCCCACGACAGTTGATAAGGCAGAGTATAAGGGGAGGAAGCGCAGTCCGTCTGTGAAAGTATCGAAGTTGTGATGAGGACCCATAAGATGGTCTCTCAGTAATGTTCTGTTTTATGATGGGACCCCCTTAGATTTTGGAAAAGGGAAGGGATGTTTTGTGATGTTTTGTGATGTTTTGTGATGTAACGAAACCCCTCGTGACTTTGAGAGAGGGGGTGTTTGTTTATGATGAGACCCTCGTGATTTTTGGAAGAGGGAATGTATTGTTTTATGGCGAGACCCCTCGCGATTTTTTGGAAGAGGGGGTGTTTTGTTTATGAAGAGAGTCCCTTTTTGGATTATTGGAAAATGAGAGTGGTTTTTGGTTGGAAGACTAATCCTCAGAAGTGAGTAAATTGATTTATGGCATGATGAGTTGTTCGATGGGTGATGAAGTCTGACGGAAAGGGGCCACTTTTTGTTTGAAATGTTTGAGAAAGTCGCAATGAGTACAGGGCGAGAGATGTCTCAGGGTGGGTGGCTGCTGGCTCTGATCAAGTCAGGGGTCACGGCCTGGTGGATTTAGCGGTGATTTTGCTTRTAAGCGTGCRAMGGAKGCCATRCCTATTGAAGGAGGGCTGGTAAATGCCTTCGGACCCCTGCGTATCGCGCAGTGGGCCTGTGATTTTGTTTTGACGCACCCGTTTAACCACTGGTGCTAATTCTGAGACATATTGAAGAAAGGCCAAGCTAACGGAAAAGAAGTTAGTACCTCTAGAGCGTAACCCCATTGGATGGCTGCTAACCGGCGCAACCTGGTTGCGGGATCACGGGGTAAGAGTTTAAGGGGAGTTACCTGCCCCAGGGAAATTACTCCATGGGATAGTGAAGGTTGAGATTTTGGGAGGTCCTGATTGAGTGCCTATCAGGAGAAACTCTATCATTGCGTAACCAACGAGGGTACTGCCGTTAAATAACAATGCGGTAGACCGTAGTCCTGGTCCGATCAACCAGGCTATGGTGGGCTAAGATGGAGACCTGGCTTTTCTGTACTAGACTGCAGAAAGAGCGGAGTGGATATTAAGTTTACATATATACTTATATGTATTTGATTGCGAGAGATTTTGAGAAGGAAGGCGAGAGTGCCTTCAAAGGTCTCGGTTAAGGCCCGCGTCCCTAGTTTTTGCCAGGACTAGGGACACTCAACGAGAAGCCGAAGGTTGTCTAGGACCGGGGAGAGGACGATTGGGAAGGTCTTTGGAACTTATGCTGCCAGTCTCCTAATTTCTGGACGGTGTGAGGCCCAGGTTAGAAACCTGGCAGCATATAGTTGTGAAGGCATGGTTTGATGGAGGCCTCTACCCTGTGTTGGTCGGCTAATCGGATTGACTCACCTCTTTCGTCAGCATTTGGAGTGTGAATGGATTTATAGCTTTCAGATTTGGCGAAGCGACGGGGATGTCGCTTAATATGGTTCGGTAAGGCTGTCGGTGCGAATACCCTTACAAGGGTATCCGCCCTAGTTTTTGCAAGTGACAGAAAATAGTTTTGGTCTAGAGTTTAAGTATACCGCGCTAAGCACGACTGCGTCAGTAATTGCTTTGACTGGGTGGTTGATCGCAATAGTGAGTGCGTGGGCGCGCATGTTTAAGGCGCGCGTGATTCTTTTCTGTTGTTGATCATAAATCCGGCGCGGACATCGGTCGTTCTGTTTAATGATATTATTAATATTTATTTATTTTTGATTAAGCACGATTTTGAGATACTTTCCGTTGATTGGTACTTTCGACCGAGACGCGCGCGCGGAAAACGACCTTGAGGACGACTTCGACGGCGGTGACAGCGGCAACGATGTGACTGCGGTAGGTCTTGGTACGCGGGGTGGCGCAAGTGGCGGCCGTGGTACAGCTTGGTAAGTTTGCGCAGACACTGGGCGGTTGCGCACACGGTTATAGGCAGGGAAGAGGGTCAGGCCAATTTCCCTGGCCCCGAGCGCAGCGCCGCACCGTCTCATATAGCGCTCCGCAGATGTGGGTCCCAGACTTGGGCTTAGCGCTATAGGTTACGACATTGGACTGACACTACGGAGGTTTGGGGATCGAGATCAGCGAGCGTCGGCGCAACGGCAACGGAGCATCGAGGAGAGAGCTGATGGGGTTGAGGGCCGCTTGACTATCCCCCGTGGTTTTGCGGTTCATGGGGTTGCGCGGCAGATTCCAGGGCGGCACTAATAATTTATTTCCCCCTTCTTTTCCTTTGCCGGGTGGCTCCGGGTTGAATTTTTGTGATTATTGTTTTAATTTTTGTATTATTCACCCTTAATATTAAGCGTGGCGGGGCCGCGCGAGGGTGTGTTGTATCTGCGGGAAACCCCGTAGCAGCCACGCCCAAGCCTTGAATAGGGGCGCGAGATAGAGCCGCGCTGGCCAGCAGGTGCGATGCCCGCAACGACAGGGGAGCAACAGCGGGCCGGGGCACTAGCTTCTAAAGCTGGCCATGTGCACCAGAAGTGCCCGCCCGAATCCGGCCTAAGAGAGAGGCCAAGTCCACGCAAAGGTAGCGGAGAAGAGGGGGGGGGGCGTGTGGCCTCTGGTGCCACTACGGGGCATTGCCCCGGTCGAGTCCTTCGGGACATCCGTAAAAATTGAAACGATACGGGGAAGATTAGCACAGCCCCTGCGCAAGGATAACCTGCGTAAATCCGAGGAAAGCCGCGGTGCCTTGGCCTTCACTTCCGAGGTTTTTTTCTCCGAAAACGGTTGGTACTGTGAGGGGCTGCGCTAGCCGCGGGCGCCGAAGAAAACCTGCCAGGAAAGGAGAGAGGAGGCAGGGCGCATACGAGGTGATAACAGAGGAGGAAAACGGGCAGCAAGGAAAATTGCGTAGGTGGGGAGGCGGTAGCTGRTTGRGGGAGTGTSATACGGAGGCGCYGCGGATCACTAGGCTGAGCTACGAGTGGGGGAGGAAGACGATTGAATGTGGACGTGAACCGGTGCGGGGTGCGTGCGGATGGTGGTAGAGAAGAAGGCGGGGCAGCGAGTATGGCGCAACGGGATATGCATAACTCGCTCGATTCATTACGAAATCGGGTAAGTGGAGAGTCAAATTTGGGGTTTTAACCCCGGGCGAGCGCACTGGTGAAGTCAGTTTCGGCGTTAGATAGGTAGAACGAGAGGTTAGCGGAACAAGAGCTGCGTCGGAGTTATGGCAATGGCGGAGRTGGAGGGAGTAAAAATTGAGAGTTCGCTCGATTCCTAATGAAATCGACCGAACTAGAGTGCTGAGTGGGGGTTTTAGACCCGGACGACCGTGATCGTRAGGTCAGTGTTAGTGATAAGTTAGTGATTTAGGASTTAGTATGGGAAGTGACTGCGCTGAGTTATGGCGGGGSGACAAGGGAGTGAACAGCTRAGCGAACCCGGACGGGAACCGCGTCCAGGTACATGCGAAGGTGGAAGGCGGAAGGATGACTACCTCACTCCTCCCTCAACGAAATCGAGTCGGGGAAAGTCGTAGGAAGGGGGTTTGGCGTGGRGCGAGTTCATARAAAGGGTTAGTGAAAGAGTTAGTGTAGGGGGGGTTATTGGAAAAAAGTCGTGCGCRGGGCTATAGCRGGAGAGGTGAGTAAGAAGAAGGGATAACTCGGCSGTTTCRCGATGGAAACGGGCAAGGGGAKATCCTGATCGGGGGTTCTCGTCGGRGTGCGTTCAAAGGAGGAGCGCAACAGAGAGGACAGGGCGAACCCGATGGTGGCCACGGCTTGGATCTTAAAGAGTGTTTTCTGTGATGTGTAGATGGAGGGCTGCGCCCGGGAGAATAGCCCGATTTCGTTCTGTCTTGAAAACGATGTGATGAACCTTCCCACGTTTCAGGGAAGGTTCATTCTTATTGTTTATGCATTAAGACGGGGATTTGTGCTAAGTGTTGAACGGAGGTGAATGGCAAAAGACGGAGGGTGAGTGAGTAAGGGAGCTTACCAGTGCCGACGAGGGAGGTGGGAAAGAAGTCGAGCGAGGAGATTTGTTTTTTTTCTCATTTTTCTTTTTTTTTTCTCTAATCGGTGCTGCCCGTCGTCATTCCCTTTACTGATCAATCTGGTCGCCATCACAGGAGCCGGAGTCCTCTATCTCGTAGTCGTGGCGCTCTTCCCCCCCCCGACTTAAACGAACCTGGCCAGGAAGACGGGTCAACTGCAGAGAGAGAGAGAGAGAGGGGGGGGGGAAAGAGACACTCACCTGACGGCTAGAGCGGGCCAGGTACATCGAGGTGGGGACCGTCCGGTTCGGGATGTCTGTGTTGCCCTGTAGGTAATGACAGGAGTTATCAGGGTGGCCACCTGATTCAGGGGGTGGTGGGAACCAACAGCCTGCGGTGCTCAATCGTGATGTGAGTAGCGGAGTGCTGCTTTGTGTCGAGTTGGACGTGCGGACTGCCCCGGCTTTACTGCGGCCGGAGTGCTGGCCGTCTTATTCCACCATGCGAGGTGAGCCGAAGGGAGGGGTAAGCTACGTGCCAGACTGTGGGAAGTTGGGACATGACGGCTACGGGCAGCTACCGCCGCGGCTGACTGTGCCTGAAGGATCGCCGCCGCCGATGGCTATGTGTAGTTGTTGCTGCCATTAGCTAGGCACAAACTGTGGCGAACTAGAGGCGAACTGCTGCAGGCCCCTGCAAGCTGGGCACAAGCTTCCTCTTCGAGTTGCTGTTGGTTGCACGGATGGTTGTTGTTGTTGTTGACCCCCACTAGGCACTGCTACTCTGTATAGGCTGCTGTTGCAGGTTACTGACTATTGCTGAGGCAGTTAAGGACGATGACAGGCTGTTGAAGTGAAGGCCCGGGGAGGGGACCAGGCCAGTTAAGAAGGGAGTTAGTGCAGCGGTAGAGGAACCTTTGGAGGTTTGACTTCGGTGGTTTGACCAGAGTTTGACCAAGCTGTCGCTTAGGCCGCCCTTGCGGGGCCCTCAGGCGCATCAAGGAATCAAGACCCTCTCCTGCGAGTCTGAGCGCACCAACCGCGTATCTGAGAGTCTCTGAATCTTCTCTATCTGCCCTTCTCAGTCTAAGTCTAGTCCTTGGTTACGAGGGGAAGGCGGCAGGCGGGATTGCAACCCGTAGGTCCGCATCAAGACTCTGTGGGGAGTCCACCCACCGATTGCGGGAGCTCTGTCGGAACTCAGGAGGATTTCTGGAGGCAGGGAACCATCAGGTAAACCACTTCATCTGTATAACTCACTATTACCCATGTTTGCCTATCCCCCTGCAGTATGATCGTTGTATGCATGCGCTTGTCCCTATGGTTTTCGCTTTCTCTTCAGGACCCAATCAGACTAACTGGAAAGAATGTGTGAGAGTGAAGCCTAAGTTTCTATTTTGTTCTGATTGAAAGCAGACTAAGGATGAATTGGGGGAAGGTGGGAGGAAGGTAGACTGCATGCGTTTGACCGGGTCAAGCAAAGCCTGAGCATTGTTTCTATTGTGAATGGCTCAGGGCTATGTTTATTTGGATGTTTTCTGAAGGACCAGGCATTGTTTCTACTGTGAATGGTCTGGTCGCTGTGTTTATTTGATTGTTTTCTGGGGAGCCAGACATTGTTTCTACTGTGAATGGCCTGGCTACCTTAGCTAACTCTGAGGGTTGTCTGATTGAAGGAGTTTAAGTTCTTGTTTATTCTGAGGGAGGATTTATGGTCTAAGGCTAAGCATTGTTTCCATGGTGAATGGTTTAACCTGAAAACCACACACATAAGTTAAACTGAGTATAAAGGAAAAATATTCTATGTATATTTGCATGTGGACTGGCAGCTGGGCATTGTTTCTACTGTGAATGGTCCAGCGTTAAGCCATATCATTAAGAAGAGAAAAAGAAAATACAAAGTATAAATGGAAATAGTTTGGGTAAGCTGAACATTGTTTCTATTGTGAATGGTTCAGTCCCCTGCCCATATTTGCTTTTTCTTTTGAAAACAAAGTCAGAGAAATACTAAATCCTCGGATATTAAACAGCTCAGGGCAGCTAGGCATTGTTTTCATAGCGAATGACCTAGTCATCTGCCCAAAAGAAGAAAGAAGTAGTTGTGCAACCTGTTCGTGTATATCATGAAGACAAGCTGGACATTATTTCCATGGCGAATGGTCCAGCTCTATGTCTTATGTAAGATGGGTATAAGGATCAAGA